AAGTGCTCAACGACCCTCACTCCCTCCGATGTCAGGGGCCCAGGCGGCAAATGGCATGGCCCAGCGAATGCGATCCGCGAGTAGCCCCGATATCCACAACCACACCCACAATCCGGAAATGCGTCGTTACATGGGCGCCCATACGATGCAGACCGTCGACAACGTACCCGTCCCGCCGATTCCCGCTCACATATCCAGCATGATGGCGCCTCCCAACCGCAGCCAGAACAACTCCCCTACCAATGCCAACATCCCCATTCGCAACGCAAACCACCTTTCCAACTCCCAGCAACATTCCGATCCCCGGCATGTGCCGCACACGCATTTCCACGAGCCCCAATACTCCGACTACCGTCCTAGCACATCGGCCACCGATCAGCCCACGTCTCCCCTGAGCCACGAGCCGGATGAGGAGCCCCTCATGCCGACGCAACTCAAGGTCAAGGTGAATTTCGATGATAACTACGTCACTCTCGTCATTGCCAGCAACATCATGTTCCGCTCGCTCATCGATCGTGTGGATGCCAAGCTGGCCCGATTCACCAACCGCTCAATTGGCAGCAAGTCGGTCAGGCTACGATACCGGGACGAAGACGGAGATTTCGTTACGATTGACAGCGACGAGGCCGTTCAACTGGCATTCATGGAGTGGCGCGAACAACAGCGTGACATGCTCGCTAGGGGTCAAGTAGGAGAGATTCAACTCTACTGTCAGGCAGTGGAGACTTAGATATGATAGAGCTGGAGCAATGGCATATGTTCCAGTACTGAAGATTATTTTCTGCCTTATTTTCTCACTACCTTACTTTGTTTCCTACCGTTACTTTTCGTCCTTGATTCTCCGACCATCGCTGCATTTGATTACTCCGCATCTCATTCTGTGTGAGTTGGCAAGAGATGAGACAATGTCACCGGTGTTGTCTCCTTGGTTTAGTTGACGACTCACATCCAACTGGATTGGCTGGAGAGCGTTGGAGAGGCTACTGATTCTATTCGCATGGGTTACGGGAGAGGCAAAAAAAAAAGATTATCGGCCGGGGGCGCTTGATTCTTGATGGACCCTAGCAAGGAGCGGGGTTTTGTGGGTTTACTTCGGACACCCTGTTGGAATTTGGGAGAGGCGGCTCTCTGCTCTGGGAAATGTTGATGACTCTCCATTTGAACTGATCTACCATGACTGCATGATGTATGTATACCGCTTGTTGGCTTTCCGATTTTTCATTGATTGCGCAGGACGGATGTCGGACATATGAGATGAGCTGTATAGTGTTCCTGCATATTTGGCCTTGGGATTGACTTTGATGTTGCGGTACCTCATCTGTTGTGCTTGTTGAGTTGTTGCTTTTTACCCCCCTTTTTTTTTTTTCTTTGCTGGCATTCCGTGCTGGCCCTGTCAATGATAGTATTACGACCTTAGATTTCCTTGGTGCTGGGTGCAGATATAGAGTATGAACAATGGCGAAGATAATAGCTCCAAAAATAAACCTGAAAGGAGTAGGGAGGAGAAGATAGGAGATCGGTTGGTTAGTGAGTTAGTTAAGTTAGTAAGTACCTGGGGGGGCGCCATAATTCCACGGATCCATCAGTACCGAGAAGTGGAACTTCGGGCACTCCACGGTCCAAACCAACGGGGGCCTGAAAGGGCTGAAAGGGGGTGGTGGGTGTCCATCCAGTCCCTGTTTGTCATTAGACAGGTCGCAACTCTTGAGAGTTGAGATGCCGTCCATCCGATTGTATACCAAAGATAGATAGGTAGACAAGAAGATCGATAGGGTATAAGGGAATAAGGGGGGGGGGGGGACAGCAGCCACCGCCACTCGTCATTTGCTACTGGGGCCGGAAATCGATACTACTACTAACTTGCGTATAGTACTACGTACTTTGTAAGTTTGTATGGTCTCGGAAGGAATAATGATGGCAGATGATTTGGGATTGATTTATTTGGAGCCGGTGTCGGATCCCAGCCGAAAGAAGAGTCCACTTGGAGCCCGTCGATCGGGACTGAGCCACGGGAAAATGATTGCGGTCTGGACGAGACGGTTGGGTCAAAACTTATCGATTCTGGGTTCGACGATTCGTCACGTATGCGGTGTGTGTGTGTGTGTGTGTGACTACTAGTCAGTTTAGTTGTGAGGCATTTTATGGTTGTGGTTGTAAGGCTGCTTTTTTTTTGCTTTGCTTTCCCTGGAAGAGGCGGCAGTTGCGCGATTATTCTACTTCTTCCTTCCTTCTAATTTTGTCAAGAAAGTTGACTGGTGCCTGCGGGCTGAAACTACTAGTAGGTATTGTTATTATTATTATTATTTTTTGTCGCAGATGAGAGGAGTTAGGAAAAAGGAGAATGGTAGTTTGTCTGTCTGTCTTGAGAGTCTGTCTGGGTCTGGGTCGATATGCCGTAGAGTGAGGGAGTAGATTGGGCGGAAAGGAAAAGTTGGAGAACAGCAAGACCAACAAGGCAAAGCAATGAGTTGGAGGGAGCCATCCATCCTGAACGCCTTAACAAGAGAAAAAATTACTTGTACCTTTTTTTTTTTTTTTCTTCTCTGGTCACTTTTTTATTTTATTTCCCTTTTTATCTTATTATCTGGTCTGTCTGACTATCTTCTTCTTCATTCTTATTTATTGATATATCCTCTCCTCTCTCTCCCCTCTTAATTCTCTGTTCTCCAACTCTTGTTCTTTTGGAGAGTAAGTTCTATCTTTGCCTCTACTACTTGCCTATCTTTTTTTTTTCTTCTCCTGTTGTCTATTCCTACCATATTAAAGAAATCCCCAATTCTTACTTAATTAATCCTTTCTTAACCCCCATCAGATCCAGGGAACTCCGATAGCTTGCATACACTAGATTGCATTCTTCCCCAGAATCTGCGACTTGGCAAAAGCAGCCCAGCATGTCTTTCTCCGGCCGCCGCTTGAGCATCCTGCGCCCCTCCAACCGCCGCTTCTCGGTCGGTAAGGAGTTGTCTGAGAATGGTACGTTATTCTTTTATTCATATGTCTTCCTTTTATTCTTTTCTTCATTTGTAGAAGTCATGTTCCCTGCACTCTTGCTTCTATACTTGCTCCCACTGCATGCAGCAATGCTGCTCAGCCTTGTGCATGAGGGGCACATAATCCTCCGTTTCCTTCAACAACACAAGCTACTAGTCGATGACTATTACATGCATTCCAACTAACATCACATCCTACCATGCAGAACTTCGTTCCGAAACCCACCGTCAGTTCCGTAGCGCCCACGAAGGTCACCGTCCCCATGCCGGTCTCGATGCCTCCCGTGCCTCCACCGGTGTTGTCTGGTGTACCGAGCGTGCCACCGAACATGGTTATGCTGAGGATCCTCACTCCTGGGCCAACCTAGGCCAGGGTGCCCCTGAAGCCGATGATGAGATCGAGGGCAGTTTCCCTCGTCCGACTTCCATCCCTATCACCTCCGCCGCCCGTGAGTACGGTCCCACCGCCGGTATCAAGCCTCTGCGTGCCGCCGTCGCTCGCCTCTACAATGAGCACTACCGTCAGGGCAAGGCCAGTCAGTACACCTGGGAGAACGTCTGCATTGTCCCCGGTGGTCGTGCGGGTCTGATCCGTATTGCTGCTATTCTGGGAAACTCGTACTTGTCTTTCCCTATCCCTGATTACTCGGCGTACTCTGAGATGTTGTCGCTGTTCAAGAACGTGAGTGCGAATTAGCGCTGCTAGTGGAATGACAGCAGTGAACAGTGGGCTCGGGGTTGTATACGGTGGCTAACTCTGCATCTAGATCGCTCCTATTCCCATTCCCCTCGCCCAAGACGACCACTACGCAATTCACCCCGACAAGATCGCCGAGGAGATCGCTCGTGGAACATCTGTGTTGCTGACCTCCAACCCTCGTAACCCTACCGGACACTTTGTCTCCAACCCGGAGCTTGCTCAGATCCAGGACATCTGCAGAGATCGTGCGACTCTGATCCTGGATGAGTTCTACGGCGGTTACAACTACACTACCGACTGTGACGGAACCACGATCAGTGGTGCCACCAACGTCGAAGATGTCAACAAAGATGGTTCGCCCGCTGACCCTCCCTGAACAAACGAGAACCGGTGCAGGTTGTTCCTGCCATGCTGACTCTCACAGATGTGCTTCTGATTGACGGTCTGACCAAGCGTTTCCGTCTTCCGGGTTGGCGTATCGCCTGGGTTGTTGGACCCAAGGAGTTCATTGACGCCCTGGGCTCTGCTGGTTCCTACCTGGACGGTGGTGCCAATGCGCCTTTCCAGGAAGCCGCCGTTCCCATGCTCGAGCCGTCGCTGGTGCGTGCAGAGATGAAGGCCCTCCAGGTGCACTTCCGCGAGAAGAGAGACTTCGTCGTTGGGCGTCTGCGTGAGATCGGTTTCCGCATCGACGAGGTGCCCCAGGCCACCTTCTACATCTGGCTTGACCTGACCTCCCTGGACCCTCCTCTCCCCAAGGAGGCCAACCTGTCCGACGGACTGAACTTCTTCAACGCCCTCTTGACCGAGAAGGTCATTGTGGTCCCTGGTATCTTCTTTGACCTGAACCCCGCTCACAGAAGAGACCTGTTCGACAGCCCTTGCCACCACTTCGTTCGTCTGAGTTACGGCCCGAAGATGGATGTCCTGAAGATGGGTCTGGACGGTATCGAGCGGGTCATCCGCCGGGCTCGGGCGCAGTTCGAGCCTCAGTGGGAGGACGAGGTGGCTGTCCAGGACGACTAGAGGTCGTGATTCCTAGCATTAATACACGTAGAGCAATAGAAGCATAAGCGTAGGCATATATACCTTTGAGAAGCCATATTGATTTATCGCAGAAACATAGTAGATATGGTAGGGATGGCTTGTTCCGAGACAGTATCCGTACAGGAAGACAAATGCCGATCGCGCCCACACTAATCACGTGATGCCCAGCTCATCTCACGGTCGCAACGGGCATCCCCTTTAATCCCAGCTACGCAGTATATCTTCTACCGGCCAGTTGCTTGCACCTGAGAGCAGCCGGTACTGCGGCGCAATATGACGTGCTCGCGGTTATGGCCCTCAACGTTCAGCGCGTCCTGAACCTAACTGTCTTCACCTTCCTCTCCTTGGTCCTGTTCCTCTGCATCATCCTGACTCCCGCCGATGCGATCTACCAGTGCTACATCACGCAGCGCCTCACGAACATCTTCATCATCACCGGCGGCTACGTTGTCACATTCATTCTCGCGGTTCTAATCTACACCACGCGTATATATACCAACCGAACCGTCCTCTCCGGCATCCCCAAAGCATGGATCCCCGTCGAGCGCGAAGACGTCGGCAAGAGTGTGCGCCGACTGGTTAAGGAGGGTTTGGCGCATAGTGCGATCATAGCCTACCAGGCTCGACCTAGGGACATTGCAGCCGACGGACATGATTTCTCAGGCTACGAATCGCTCCTGGTAGACTATGACAATCCACCCTGGGGTCAAGTCGAGCACCCCGGATGGTCCTCGCCCTCATGTCCTGACCTGCCCGACCTTCCCTATCGGACTGTAGTCCAGGAACTGCCTCATCTCATCGAGGCCAAGGCAGTGTCACTCGCTCCTCCCGATCCGATCTTCACGGCCACCCAGCGGGCGCTTCACGCGCCATTTCCCGAAACCGAAGAGTCCATTCCTGACACGCGGGTGGTGGAAGTATTACGGCGGCCGATATCGATGGGTCTGCGGGGGTATTTGCAGCATCTGACTGCGTTGAATGTGGTTGATCCGCCGGAAATCGGGATGGAGTTTGTCGCTCTGTATGAGCGGGCGCGCTTTTCGACGCGTGAGCTACACGAGGCTGAGTTCAGGACTTTGATGCATGTGTTTGCGGAGCTCCTGAGGGGAATGAAGGTTCTGGACCCCCAGATCTTGGATGAGGTGCGGGGTGGTGGGAGTTCCCAGGCTGAGAGCGAGTCTCTTATCGGGCCTTCGGACGAGGAAGGTGAAACCGATACGGTGGATTCCTATGGCGATAGTGAAGCCATGTCGCGTGGCCGGAGTAATAGTCTGCGGCCTTCGAATGCGTCCACTTGGGACGGCGCTAGACAGGGTCGCTGGTCGCCTGTTTGGTCGAGACGCTCGGAGGCGCAGCGAACCCTGGCGCCTCCTCGGACGCCATCGATGCGGTCGCTTCGACGAGTACAGTCGAATGTATCTGGTAGCTCTGGAGGGAGCGTGATTCGCCTGGTCGAGACCCGGAGTCCGACGGATTTACCGTACGCTTATAATGTTGGCAGCAGCAGCCGCGTCGACGGTAGACCTCAAACATAGATACTAGATAAGATTTGGAAAAAAAAAAATAACCAAAACCATTCTGTATAATTACACAATTGAAGATGCGATTTCTCCCTTAGATTTGCAATATGCCACTATTAGTTACACAGCGTCTCCTATTGGCCTTAATTACCCATATATCCACCTGCCCTGGGCTCGCTGTGTTTCCCCAACGCCCAAAAAAGAACTTCCCCCACTTTTAGAACTCGGCAAAGAGTTGCTCCTGCCGTGACGTAAGCCAATCGGAGGTCCGGCAGCAACCGACCACAAGCCGCATCCAAACCGTGTCGGCGTGGCTTTCCGTCCTTGGCAAGGCGCGCGCGGCGATTGATAAGATCTGGCGGTTCCCAAAAGTCCGAATGAAAGAAAAAGATACTTGCCTTCTTGTTATCCCCTTCTCCCTACCTTTTCATTTCTCAAACCCCCCTTGCTACACTACTATATATATTCACAATGCAATCCATCCTCCAACGAGGCCGCTCATTCTTCACCCCGACCCCCTCGGCAACCCCGCAGGACAGGAGTCCCAAAGACAGTCCCAAACCCCAGGAGGAGAATGATGATGATGCTACGCCATCGGTCGATACCCTTTTCCCGAAGACCGACCCCGCTGTGGACGGCGAGGAATGTCTACACGACTGTGCGTCCTGCACGGTGAAATACCCCGCCAAATTCGATGTCGATCAGGAAGATACCATGTACGGGAATATTAATGGCTGGTCGACGCATGTGCTGGTTGCGACTGGGAAGGCGGATTGGGTGAGGGATGTTGCGGATGAAGAGGGGAGTGTTATGGAGGCGATTGAAAAGGGGGGGTTGGTGCCTAGTAATGGGGTATGATCTCACTGTCACTGCAGTCTGTTTGTTTTTTTTGGCTGCGCGAAGCTAATCAGTGTGGGGTGGCTATGTCTAGAAACTGAAATTGTCCGCCTCCAATATGCCCGTCCCGGATGAATATCATTATCATGATGCGGGGAAACAACCTACGACTGTGTTGCTTCTGCCCAGGTTTACTATCGTCGATCATGTCACGCCGCAGCTGGCGCCGGATTTGATCAAGTATTTTGTGAATCGCTCGCCGACGACTACTACCCCGTTGGTTGGTGGAAACAGCAATGATGAGAGTGAACAACAAGAGCAGCCCTCGACTGAAGAACAACAACAACAACAAGAAGAGAACATCACCGACATCCAATCCCTCACCTCCCTCCGCTCCCGTCCCTCCCCTCACTCCGCCGTTATCCTGCTCTGCTCCCACCGCACCCGCGACGCCCGCTGTGGACAGTCCGCGCCGCTTCTTCGCAAGGAATTCGAGCGCCATTTGCGTCATCTAGGCCTGTATAGGGACATGGATGATGAGAGGCCTGGGGGTGTGGGAATCTATTTTATCAACCATGTGGGTGGACATAAGTATGCGGCGAACGTGATTATTTATCGCAGACGGGACTTTGAGTGGTATAAGAAGACGGAGGGGACTGAGGAGGAAGAGGGCGCGGCGCAGGGTATCTGGCTTGCGAGGGTGAGGCCCCAGGATTGTGAGAATATTGTGCGGTATACGGTGCTGCAAGGGAAGGTGGTTAAGCCTGGGGAGCAGTTGAGAGGTGGGTTTGATAGGGAGAGGGGGGTTACGAGTTGGTAGGAATCTTTCTATCTCCTTGGGGTATATTATTGGTATATAAGGATATATTGCGAGAGGAGGGATTGTATAGGATTATCATAGAATGGGTATGGATATGGGTATATACAAGGAACCAATCAATGAAACATGCATGGGAATGAAACAGCTGCTTTACTTAGTCACTGAAATGTCTCACTGTAATAATATCTCCCACTATAACCCGGCATTTGGCAGCTACTATTCCCTAAAAGAACTCCAGAACAATTACACAGACCACATCATACACCCATTAAGCATAACCCTCCCCCATCCCCATCCGACCCACGGAAAGTAATTATCCCATAATAGGTAGCTTTCAAAGCTTCCCCCCCCAAAGTCAAAAACAAGCTCTTCTCATTACCATCAACCTAGATTAAGTCAACCAGGTAAACCCTCCCCAAGCTACCTAATTTACTACCTACAGTATTTTACTTGGCACAACGTAAAGTAAGTAACTTAGTAACTAAGCTGTCATCTCGATTTAGTTTACAAACATGTACCTAGGTTGATTGATTACGATCTTCTCCCCTTCACCGACCAACCATATATGTCCTCGCTAATGCTTCCCGCATCGGGCTAAGATTGTCCCCCCAATACGAGCGAAATTGATCAGCAGCAAGCAGTAGCCTCAGGCTAGCTACTTATCTATTACTGTAAGTTGTTACTTATCCACTTCGCTTGGAGGTCGGTTGGCGGCGGAGAATTAGTAACCTAGTTACTTAGTTGGTTGGTTAGACTGCAGTAGGTTAGTTAGTTAACCAGTTAGTTGCTTGGTTATGTAAGTAGTATGTATAGTTAGTATGGGTTTGGTATCGAAATACGGGTATGGTGTGTAATGATACGTGACGGTTTATTTCCATCTCTGTCTGGGAGAGTAGTATCGATCTGCATACAGTATCTAGTTAAATTACTTTGTTTTGAATGAGGTTGAAGTGAATTTGACTGCTGTGAGATGGTTACACAGGGGAGAGTTCGTGCTACAAAAAGCTAAGGAGACTATTGCCTGTGGGTTGGAAATAGAGCTGCCTGGTTGTTGATTTGCTTCTGCTGAATGTGATGATCATCATCTGTGTACGCTGTCGAGAGGCAATACGACATAGTATAGTCTGATTGATATGCACTACAGCATCTATACAACGCAGCATGGGCCCATCAACTACCACCACCACCAGCAGATGGCATCTCCCACTCTTCTTCCTCTACATTCTGTAACTATCCCACCACTACATATCCCAGCTCAATTGACTAACTAACAACATCCAGCCTCCTCCACACCACAGGCCTATACCTCTTCACCAAAGGCTTCCTCCTCACACGTCAAACCCTCGATTTGAAAAGCAATTGCTCCCATCCTCCCATCACTACAACAAATACTACCTGCTGGACGCCCCCCACCTTCACCAAAGCCATCATCCTCCTCATCGACGCCCTCCGCTACGACTTCACCATCCCCACCACCAACAACAAAACATACCACAACGCCCTCACTACCCTGCACACCACAGCCCTCACCACTCCCCACAATGCCCTCCTCTACCCCTTCATCGCCGACCCACCCACCACCACCCTCCAGCGCCTGAAAGCCCTCACGACCGGCACACTACCCACCTTCATCGAAGCAGGGTCCAACTTCGCCGGCTCAGCAGTCACAGAAGATAACCTGATATCGCAACTCCATGACGCAGGGAAACGTCTCGTCCTGTTGGGCGATGATACCTGGATGAAACTTTTCCCGGGATACTTCACCCCCAACCTGTCACGTCCATATGAATCGTTCCTAGTGGAGGATTTACATACGGTTGATGATGGGGTGTATGAGCATTTGGTACCTTTGCTTAAGGGTAAAGATGAGGAGAAGGGGGAGTGGGACGTGATCATCGCCCATTTCCTGGGTGTTGATCACGTCGGACATCGGTTTGGGCCGGGGCATGAGAGCATGAGGGAGAAGTTGGCTCAGATGGATGGGGTTGTTAGGGAGGTTATGGAGAGTGTGGATGATGAGACGTTGTTGGTTGTTATGGGGGATCATGGGATGGATGAGAATGGGAACCATGGGGGTGAGGGGGTGGATGAGGTACGGGCTGCGTTGTGGTTGTATTCGAGTAGGGAGGTTTGGGGGGTTGTTGATGGTGGTGATGGTGGTGGTAATGTTACTGGTGTTGTGGGAAGGGATGTGCCGCAGGTGGACTTTGTGAGCACGTTGGCGTTGTTGATGGGGGTGCCCGTGCCGTTTAGTAACCTGGGACGGCCGATTGAGGAGGCGTTTGCTGGGAGGGAGGGGAGGGATTGGAGACGCTTGGTGGAGGTTAATGCGTTGGTTGGGGCGCAGATTCAGAGGTTTACGGTCGAGTATGAGAGGTATGGATGGGAGGGGGTGGTTGGGTGGGATAGATGGTTTGATGGTGAGGTGGATTTTGGGGATGAGGAGGCTTTGAGGGAGTATTATCAGAAGTTGAGGGGATATCAAGGGTGGATGCTAGAGGGGTATAAGCGTATGTGGGCTCAGTTTGATCCACTGAGAATGGTTGAGGGGTTGGTGGTTCTGTTGCTGAGTGTGGTGGTCCTGATATGCCCCCAGGTGAATGGGAGGTCTGGCCTGAGAAGGTCTGGAATGGTAGTAGGGATCGTGATGGGGGTTGTTGTTGTGGCTGGTCATGTTGCTTTGACTGACTTTGCTCAGGGTTCCCTCACGGATGGAGTGATCCTGGGCGCTGCTTTGGGCAGCGTTGTGTGGAATATATGGCAGACTGGTTTGACTATCTTGCGCAGATGCATTCCGGGAGGAGCCTGGAGCTGGCAGGCTGTGATGTTCACTCTACTGCTCGGCATCGGATTTGCTTCGAATTCCTACACCGTCTGGGAGGACCGTGTGGTTTTGGTCTTTCTCTCGACATTCGGGCTATGCACTCTTGGCGCGTCAAACCATGCAAAAGATGTACGTGAAGCGTCTTGCTCGGTGATATTCATGCTTCTGAGTCGAGTCGTCTCGCTCAGTCGGGCTTGTCGCGAAGAGCAACTGCCGTTTTGCAGAACGTCGTTCTATCGTCTGGAGAGTAGCTGGGCTTGGCAGCTATCAAGCCCGGTCATTACCGCCGTAGCTGTGTTATACATTACTCGACTAGCTCTGCGAGACCACGCGGCTGGAAACCTGTTCTGGTTCAGACTCGGCGTACCAAGTGCGCTGCTGCTCACCACCGTCTTCAATGCACTAGAAACGGCAAGTAACAATGGCTGGCTGGCAGACCTTCTCACAGATGACATCTCCAAAACTGTGCGCATGACTGTTGCACGAACGGTGCTAGCCATTGTCTTTATTGGGTTAGCAACTGCGTTTACAAACACTCCAAGACATAGGACACTCGAACGGCCACTCATCTTCACGACAGCAATGCTCCTTGCAGGCATTCTCTCAAGTACTCCAACAGGCGGGCTGTCCTTGGCAATCCTCTACTATCAGCTCATCAACCTCCGGCGTCTCATCCCCAGCAACAGCTCCATCAAACCCACCATCGCAGCGCTCCTTGGGACATTACACTTCTTCAGCACTGGTCATAACGCCACTTTATCTAGCATCCAATGGAAATCAGCCTACATTCCATTCCGGGATACACAGTATCCATGGTCGCCACTACTGGTAATCGTCAATACATTTGCCGCGCCAATCGTGGCAGCATGCGCCGTGCCTCTTCTCCACTCGGGAGAAAATCAGAGCCAAGCACGCTTCCTGGCCATTCATAGCACTATATACACTGTCTGGGCTGTTTTTGCGGCATTGTGGGCGTGTATCCTCCGCCGTCATCTGATGCTCTTTGCCATATTCTGTCCGAGGTTCCTGATGGCAGGGGCGTTGTTGGTCATTATTGACGTTCTTGCTCTGGTTAATTCGGTACTACTGACTACTGAGTCTGGCTTACGCGTGGAAGAAAGTGACATAAAACAGCTCGATTTAGTTAAAGAAGGACAATAGCTTGCGTTGACGTCAACGGAACGAGCACAATATCAAATCAATCACTGTGTCTTGAGACTACCCGACGATCAATCAGGTGTGTATGGGGCAAGTCACTAGCAGTAATGAGCCCGGCAAGCCTACATGTTGTTAGAAGGTTTGTTACTGAGACGATAAAGAAGCTGGGATTACCCGGAAGCAGCGTTCACCTCCGTGGTGACGGTTGCAGTTCTACACTTCGTTAGCTAACCCGTCTTATCAAGACCTCATAGTCGAAGAAAGATAGAAGGTAAAGAAAGGGAAACATACATCCATGCACTGTCTATATCCTGGCCGACAGCGCTGCGCATCAGCCAGACCAGGGTCCTCAGACACTGCAGCGTCGACATCATTGTCTGCCTCCGCGGCCGGAGCAGCAATAGCCAGGGCGGCGAAGAAGAGGGTAAGAGGGATGGTGAAACGCATTCTGTCACTGCTTCGTTGAATTGTTATGCTTGAGGAAAGTGGTAGTGATGCTGATGTCGATACCCAAGGGGACAGGAGATCTAGGTGCTTTTATGCTCGAGATTCAGGTCTCGAGTTTGTCTTTGTCCTTGATGGATACATTCCGATGTGGTACAGGATATACTTCTATTGTCCAGATAAGTTGGCAGCTGAGCATCTAGACTTCGAGATGAGGCCGGTATATGGATAGGATGAGTGATGTGGGCTTGGTTGTGAGAGGAGAGTTGTAGGCTTACTTTCCGCTACTATTCTTTGGTGACTGACCCGCTCATGGTATGCGTTGAGATTGAGATTGAATTGATATATACATACATACACTATAAGGAACGATGCACGGCAAGTATCGCAGCAGTATATATACACTGCCCTACAAACCACTCACCAGATACTCAGAGCAGGATACCCCAGACCGTTCAACGCTTCAACTTCAGCCTCGGCCTCGGACCAACGGCCCCTTATCAATCACCCTAATCGGAGAATATACAAACTCACACAAGGTAACACAGCCAGGTACTGAATACGACTTCTCCAT